GGCATCTTAATAGAAACACACATACTAAAAAATGTGTGTGTGTGTGTGTGTGTGTGTGTGTGTGTAGCCTCTTTGTGGAGATGCAGTATCCTGAATTTCCTACTCATGTGTTTTTTTTGTTTGTTTTTGATTCAATCATAGCTGTGTATAGTAATGCAATCATGGGGTACAATGTACTGGTTTTATATACAATTTGAAATATTTTCATCAAACTGTGTTTGTTTTTCTTTACTGATGGAGTTGAAAAATTCTTTCCCTTTATTACAATCTTACCAAAATCCGTGGTACTTGAAAACCAAGTGCTCGGTTTCAGTCCAGTATGGTGTTCAGATTCGCTTCTTCCACGCCACTGAATATGGGACGGGGCTTCCTGGAAAGACTGGTCTTCTCTGTACCTTCTATTTAAAGAGATCAGAAATGTCAAATACCCCTTAAATCAGATTCTTCCTTTTGTTTTATGGTGATTAGTAACCATGAAGAAAGTAAATACAGTGTTCAGTTTTTCCTCAAAATGCACTTTGAGTTAACAACTTGTGTTTCTAGCACATGTATGATGAGTTAAGAAACAATTAAAAAAAATGAAAATCAGCCTAATCCTGCGTAACAAGCCTATTCGATGTTTCTTTATCACAGAGCTGACTTTTTTGAAGATGAGGCTATTGAACAGATTTTGAAGTATAATCCTTGGTGGACTGACACACATTCAAAAATGATGGCCGTTTTGGAGAAGAGTCAGGAGCAAGAAAATCATGCTGCGTTAGGTGAGAAACTTAAAATTAGGCTGTTTATTTCCTTTTAAAATCTCATGGTGTACCAAGTTTACTGCCTTTCCTTTTCTTAAGCATATAACTGTAAAATTGCCTCATAATATGAAAATGATTCCAATGATTTTGGATTGCTAGTTTGGGAAATTAGGTCTTCACCCCTGACTGGAAAATAATTATACTTATTTGTGTTGGAAAATTCTTTTGAAGTATATTTTACTTTAAGATCATTGGAGTTCTTTTAAATTTATTAAATTAATTACTTACTATGTGTATATAAATGTAGAGATGGTGACACATAGGACATTTATAATTTCTGAATAATCTGCTGGAGAGGTATGAAACTTCTTCTATAGTGGGGACATTTGAGTATTAATAATGGTGGGAAAAGACCTAATTCTCATTCCCTTTTCTCTGTTGAATGAATTTGATATGTCCTGCCCAGTTTTTTCACAAGTGCTTTTATGAGGAAGCAGGAATGGTTGTCCTCATATCTGTGCCTCATGGATAGCAGACGGGCCAAATTTTTCCAATGAAAGTTGAGCTGAGGAGTTTTATGAGCCCCAAGGGATGGTTGTGCCATGATTAGCATTAAGCCCAATGCTACCCACAGAGTTCTTTCTTACATGGGCATGTTACTACCACCTTCTCTAAATGCAGGGTTGGTACATTAGACCTGAAGATTAGAATTGGAACCGTTTCAGGTAGATTGGAACAGGAGGCCCAAGTTTTCTGTCACTGATTTGGCTTTTATTTATATATTAAAATTTCAATGTTTAGATGAAAGGAATACACACACATATGTACATTCTGAATAATATTAAATAGAATATAGACTCTTCCCACCCCAAGTTCCTCTTTCTAAAAGTAATCACTGTTAACAATTTTAGGGTGTTTTTAAAATATCGATTCCCACATCTCAGTATTTGCTTTAAGAAATTTATACATGTAGACTTATGTATACCGCGTGTTTACCTCACTGGTTCCATTTGTACAGTATGTTTGTAGATTATTCCCTAGTGTCAGTTGCACATCTCCCTGAAGCTTTTCATGACTGCCTGCTATCCTGTTGTGTATTTTCTTTTTTTTTTGAGACAGAGTCTCACTATGTCGCCCTCAGTAGAGTACTGTGGCATTACAGCTCACAGAACCTCCAACTCTTGAGCTTAAGTGATTCTCTTGCCTCAGCCTCCCAAGTAGCTGGGACTACAGGTGCCCACCACAACCCCCGGCCGTTTTTGTTGTTGTTGTTGTAGTTGTCATGTTGTTTATAGCTGGCCTGGGCTGGGTTCGAACCCACCAGCTTTGGTGCATATGGCTGCTGCTGTAACTGCTCTGCTATGGGTGCTGAACCTGTTGTATATTTTTGTCATGGTTGATGGGCATTTGGGTTATTTGTAGTTTTCTGCTGTTGCAAATAATACAGTTACTTTTGACCACTCACTTAAGTGTCAAAGGTCTACAAGGTTGATATTGCAGCACAAATCTTTTCTTCTCTGCATAGCAATGCATTGGCTTGTTTTTTTTTTATGGATAGAATCTCACTATGTTGCCTTTGGTAGAGTGCTGTGGTATCACAGCTCACAGCAACCTCAAACTCTTGGGCTTAAGAGATTCTCTTGCCTCAGCCTCCCAGGTAACTGTAGTACTACAGGCACCTGCCACAATGCCTGGCTGTTTTTTTGTTACAGTTGTCATTGTTGTTTAGCTGGCCTGGACTGGGTTCCAACCCGCCAGCCTCAGTGCATGTGATGGGTGCCATAACCACTGTGCTATTGGCACCCAGCCTGCAGTGGCTTGTTATCTACCATTTTTTTGGTGTCTATGTGATTTCATAAAGGAACTCAATAAATATTTATAGGATAAATAAATATTTTTCCAGTTAGGTTTTGTTAGTTTAGGTGATTTTTACCAGATCAAAAAATTGCTGCTATAATCCTTTAGAAAGTAAAGGATTGGTTCTATTGCATAACAGCAACTTATAGTGAGTTTTGTTACATTCATTTAGTGTTTTCAGCAAATCCAGGGTTTTATATTTGACTTGAGTTTAAGAAGTTATCAGAGACTTACCACATTATATAGACAAATTTTCAGGTATAGGATTGCTAACATAGTTTATGATATATATACTATGCATATACTATGTAGGTCTGCCCAGAAAGTTTGCTCAAACTTAAATCATCAAGGACATTGACTGGTTCAAATCACTTTCTCCAGTTTAGCACAGTATTTTAATGAAGTGGTGTGAGAGAAAATTGGTGGTTGGGAAGTTGAGTGTTCTGTCCACCAGGGTGAGCTAGTTGCCCTAAGAATCAAAGGTGTTACCTTTGATTTAAATTCTATCTTGTTCTACTTTGATAAATTATAACTTGTTCTTGGTCCAGTTTTCTGTGTCAGCAATGCTTTGAGTTAGTTCTCTCTGTGTAATTTTAACAGGAGATTAAGCTGGTGCATCCTTTTAACTACTTCTCCTCCTGACCCTTCATCTGACTCATGACTTATAGCCAGGCTCGTGTGTCAGGAGCAGTCATAGTCTGCCAAGCCATTATGGTGATTCATTCTAAAAATCACTTTTAAAAATAGCAAGGGCATGTGGTCTAAGGTAGAAGAACTTGAGCTGTGTTGAACAGAAGGTACCTCTTGTAAAATGCCAGTTAGGTTAAGTATAGGTATGAGCTACACAAGGGGCTAGGCTGTGACTCCTTGCTCTACCATACGCTAGCATTGTGACTGTGCAACTCAAGATTGCTGTGGACACCTGTACCTACCTCAGAGTTGTTGTAAGGATTGAGAGAGATGAAGTGTTTAAAATTATTAGCATATTGGCTAGGTGCCTATAGCTCAGCAGCTAGGGTACCAGCCACATAGGCCGGAGCTGATAGGTTTGAGCCCAGCCCTGGCCTGTCAAACAACAATGACAACTACAACCAAAAAACAGCTAGGTGTTGTGGCGGGCGCCTGTAGTCCCAGCTACTTGGGAGACTGAGGCAAGAGAATTGCTTAAGCCCAAGAGTTGGAGGTTGCTATGAGCTGTGACACCACAGTACTCTACTCAGGGTGACATAGTGAGACTCTGTCTCAAAAACAACAAAAAATATTATCAGCATATTGTAAATGGTAGACATTACGAATGTAGAGTAAAGTTGATGGTAGGAGAGCCAGGAATTGAATGGCTTCTTTGTGAAATTACAATTTTTGTACATTTATGAAGCTTTAAAGAAAAGTTCTTTGTTAGGGAGATTTTTCTCTCGTTTTCTTTCTGGCTTGGATATTTGACTCAGAATACACTTAGAACTGGCTGAACAGTTAAAATGTGTCAAACCAGGCTAAAATATAGGTGAAGAGAAGTAAACCAAGAAATAAGCTTTACGTTTTCTGTTACCCATGGCACCAATGCTGCTGTATGGTTTCCTGTTATCTTCTTTGTTCTTTGTCTCTCTGGCCTTCTTCCTCTGTTGTCTCTTTAGTGCTCCCTCATCAGATATAGCCAGGTAGTTAGAACAGTGCTGGTGCACAGTGTACCTTTGATTCTTCCTTCATCATAAAATATTAACCTGTGTCAGTGGCACCCATAGCTCAGGAGGTAGGGCACCGGCCACATACACCAAGGCTGCTGGGTTTGAGCCTGGCCCGAGCCAGCTTAAACAACAATGACAACTGCAACAACAATAACGACAACAAAAATAGTCGGGCATCGTGGCGGGCCCCTATAGTCCCAGCTACTTGGGAGGCTTAAGCCCAAGAGTTTGAGGTTGCTGTGATCTGTGATACCATGGCACTGTACCCAGGGCAACAGCTTGGGACACCATCTCAAACAAACAAACAAACACCCCACACCCCCAATATTAACCTGCATTGTTTTTTTTTTTTTGAGATGGAGCCTCAAGCTATCCCCCTGGATAGAGTGCCATGGCATCACGCTCACAGCAACCTCTAACTCGTGGGCTCAAGCGAGTCTCCTGCCTCAGCCTCCCAAGCAGCTGGGACTACAGGCGCCCGCCACAACGCCTGGCCATTTTTTGGTTGCAGCCGTTATTGTTGTTTGGCGGGCCCGGGCTGGGGATTCGAACCCGCCACCTTAGGTGTATGTGGCTGGCGCCTTAGCCGCTTGAGCCACAGGCGCCGAGCCAACCTGCATTGTTTTGAATTCCAGAAAAATCTTAGGTGGTGAACTTTGTTCCCTGTCTTTGCCTTTGTGGTGATTCTTGTCATTTTCATCAGAGTTAAATAGTGAGACTTTCTTCAGCTTTGTAGTGACCCAGAGATTTCTCCCCAAAGGCTTGTAAATGGAAGTGTTAAATGCGATGCTTCCCCTGAGCTCTGGTTTCATGAGGATAGTGGTACCGCATTTCCCAGGTTGTCTTTTGGTGGTTAATCTCAGCCCGAGAGTCTTGGCACGTTATTGCTTGTTATGACACCACATAACATTTATAGTCAATGAACTTCCTAGCAGGGACATCCTGTTTGGCACCAGCCAGCCCTTCAGTGTTAGTAGAGATAACTGTCAGTGTCGGCTTTGAAAGTTGTAGCACTGTGGGGCTACCCAGTTAGGCTGAAGGTTTGAACGCAGCACATTTTCTTCTGGTTCCCTTGATCTGTTTCCAATAAGTGTACGATGGAATAGACAGATGTGCGTTACTCTGAGAGGAGCCAGATCGCAGATGATTTAATTGTTGACCCAGACAAGAGTAGGATGTTTGGGAGGGGGATTTAGAGAGGAAAAGAGGATTTAAAAGTAACAAAATTTAAAAATGTTTCAGAGAAAAAGTGACTACCTCACTGACATCTTTCTATTTTGATGGGAGTCCCTTTGCGGTCCTCAAACATATTTGATGTTGGGAGGTGGTCCTGGGCCATTTGCTTTGATGGCTAGGGTACCAGTTTCTTTCCCAAATATATTGCACTTTTAGCTGGCTTTTGTTTGACTAGAGATTATTTTTAGAAGTATAATTAGCTGAAATGTTGTGAACTATATAGCAAAGCTGCTCTGCAGTGTAACTAAGTCATACAAATGCTTGACAAATGTTACTTATGGTGGCAATCATCCAAGTATTGTTGGCACTACATCTGTGGTTGTTTCCAGTACGGCTGCTAGGTTAGACCCGACTGTGATCAAACCTCCCCAAGTTCCCTTTGGGTAATATGATTTATACCTTCAATAAAAAAGGCCTTAGGGAGCCCAGACTTTTGGTTTCTCTAGTGATTTCCTATTTTGTTGTTATTTCAGAATTTAAATGCATTTGTGTATTATTAATGAACTAAGTAGGCCAAAATGGAACTTAAAAGTGCTCAGGAAAAGGTAGCTCTGTTTTTAGGAAAAGGCTTGCAGGAACTAGCATCTAAGAATTCAGAAGAGTACATTCAAGTAGGCTTGTAAGATGTATACAGTTATTGAAAATGGCTTAGAATGTATGAAGCACTTACATGTGGGTGTTGCCGCATCAGAACCTACATTCTTGGGGCCAGCGTTCAGAAATCGCTAGACATACGCAGGAACTACTGCTCAAGAATGAAGGCGTGTACATGCAGAAGAGTTGATGGGTTGCTGAATGGTGTTGGCCATGCTTACTTTGGGTTCAGAATTATGTAGAAACAAAGGTCTTTATTAGTCAACCAGGACATAAAGACTTTTCTCTAGTGAGATAGCATCGTGAACACCTGGCACTTTATTATTAGTTAAATTAATGAACATGTCTAAAACTGTACCTGAGGGAATACTGTCTCAGACCTTCCTGCTAAATACAAGGGATCTTAAAATACTTTGCCAGGGATGTTTTCTTACTGCAGTGTGTTCCTTCCTGCAGTTTCCTTAAATTGAATTGCTTAAAGTGAACTGAGAGCTTTTATTTAGTTTAAAGGATCTACAGATGAGTCCTTTCATGAGACAGCTAACACCCCATTTATCTGTCTTATTAATTAAATTATTAAATGCATTGGGCAGCACAGGTTTGAACTGTGGCCTGTGTTCACTTCTCTACTTGAGTTTTCTTCTGCCTCTTTCACCTCTTGAGACGGCAGGCCCAACCCCTCCACTTCCTCAGCCTGCTCAGTGAAGATGACAAGGATGAAGACCTTTCTAAGGATCCACTTCCATTTAATGAATAGTAAATTTAATCTTAAAGAGACTTTGTGTACAACGCAAGGGATGAGAAAATTAAGGCTGTAAACCCAGAATCTCTTAGAAAAAAAATGGACCTGTTTGGCTACATAAAAAATAAGTGCTTCAATGACAAAGGGTACCAAGCAAAGTCAATATATGGTAGATTTGAGAGATGATATACAAAGAAGTTCTTTTTTTTTTTTTTTGTAGAGACAGAGTCTCACTTTATTGCTATTGGCAAAGTGCCATGGCGTCACAGCTCACAGCAACCTCCAACTCCCGGGCTTAGGCTATTCTCTTGCGTCAGCCTCCCAAGTAGCTGGGACTACAAGTGTTCACCACAACACCCGGCTATTTTGTTGTAGTCTGGCCAGGGCCAGGTTTGAGCCTTCCACCCTTAGTATATGGAGCCAGTGCCCTACCCACTGAGCCACAGTTGCTGCCCTAAAAAGAAGTTCTTTTTTTCTAATGGAGATGAGCCATCCAATAGAAAAAATTGGGCAAAACTCTTATGGGTAATTCACAGGAGAGCAAATCTGGATTGTCTGCAAACCTATGAAATAATGCTCAAGGTCTAGCAATTCTAGCAATTAGAGAAATACTAAGTGTAGCAGCAATGATATATCACTGGTTTTGTTTTTTCTTCATACAACATGTATTCATGATCTCACAGTTTCCTGGTTTAGGTCCAGCTCCTATACAAGGCTGTAGCTAAAGATGTTAATTTTTAAAGTTGTTATTATTTTTTATACATGTTGGTAACATCTATAGCTCTCCTAAGCTTACATGATTATTGGCAGAATTCCATTTCTTGTGGTGTAGAACTAAGGTCTTCACTTTGTGGCTGTAAGCTAGAGGCTACTCTCAGATCCTAGAGGACACCACAGGTCCCTGCCACATAGCCTTCTCATGGGCCCTCTCACCTCACCTTGTGGCCTCTTCTTCAAAAGTAGAATCCCTGGCTCCAGTGTGCTAATAATGGAGTGTGATCATGAAAGTGACTGTCCCATCGCCTTTGCCATGTTCTACTGGAAAGAAGCAAGTCAGAAAGAAGTTCTATCACTACACAGTGAATATAACTCATTGGGGATCATCTTAGAATTCTTCCTACCATTGTCATTTTATATTCATTAAACTAGAAACAACTGGAAAATAATTTTGTTTTTTGCTAGGAGGTGGGGGTATATGTAGGAAGAGGGACTTCTATCTATGACTGTTAGAAAGGAGAGTTATTATGGCCTTTAAGTAAAGTATCTTTCTATAATGCATGTACTTTTTTGACCCAGTAAATCTGTTCTTTAGATTTTACTTTATGGAAATAAAGCCTCTAGTATCCAAGGACATATGACAAGGGTATTTATTGTAGCATTGTTTGCAGTGGTTGAAAACTAGAAGCAAAATGAATGCCCATCAGTAGGGGGAGTGGTTGGATAGAGCATCGTATGCCTTGGAATATTATACTCCTTTACAAAAATTAGCTATATAGCATTTGACTTGGAGGGAATTGCTAGAGGTATTGTTGAGTGAAAGGGGCCAGATAGGAAAAATGACATAATTCTTTGCATGAGGTGGGAATTATAAACTCCCTAGTATATATTTTTGTGTGTCTGTATATGATTACATGGGTGTAGAGAAAACTATGGTAGATTTTTTGCAGGGGAAACTGTTGATGAAGATTCACCTGGACAGAAGGTGCCAAGCCAAAGAAGAATGAGAAAAAGGGTCTGTGTTGTAAAGAAGCATTCTCTTCCCCAAGTCTAATACATGTGACATGGCCATATGTAAAATTTTATTTATATGGATAGAGAATATTAAAAAATAAATGCTATGCCCTTAAAATTGATTGATGTCTAAGAACAGTTTTTTCTCTTGGTATAGAACTTTCAAAATGGATAATGAATATTTTTAGAGTGCTTTAATTTAACTATTATCTGTTTTTTGTTGTTGAAATGTATTATCTTAATTTTAAAGTCAGTAACTTTGGCAGTTAGATGCCTTAAATATAGAAAAGTATAGTAAAAAGGTGATGGGGGTTGGAAATAAGGAATAGATATTGTTTAAAAAATTCTTCTTTATTTAGCCCTACCAAGGTTTGAGCCAATGCATAGTCTTTAATAAAACTGTGAAGTCTACTTAAGAAGTTATTTGTATATCCAGAGTTATGCAAAAATAACTTTTAGTTTCTGTAATCAAAATTTAGATTTTGACCAATCTTCCACTTTGAGAGTTTTACAAAACTGAATAATTTTAAACACATTTCTTCTAGTATCTTTTTCTGAAGAAGAGAAATATCAGTTACGGAAATTTGTCAATAAATCTTACCTACTGGACAAGAGAGCCTGTAGTCAGGCATACTACGGTTTGATTGATATCCTTCTGGCGTATTGCTATGAAACTTGTGTCACTGAAGGAGAGAGGAACGTAAGTGCATGTATGTCTCTGCATGTCAGCATAGATTACTGTGATAAGTAAACTGCATTAAAGCATCAACTCTGTTCTCCAGAGTTGGGAGAAGTTATTGAGGGGTTGCCCCAGGCAGAGGTGTGTGTGTTGGGGTGGGTGGGTACCAACATGCCTGCTAATGCTTATTTGATCTTTTTCTCTTCTCTTTTGGCATTGATCTCTGCAGGGAAGTTTAAGGAAGTAAAGCTGAGAGGGGAGTGGAAGGCTATCCTGAACTCTCATCTCTTTTGGCTAAAGAGAGAAGGTTCTATAACTTACACTTGACATTGGCAAAGGGGTACCACACCCATATATTCTTCTCTTAACCATCAGTCAGCAGATGCAAAGTATATATAGCATTTTACAACAAAAGGGAATTTTAGTATTTACCTGTAATCATCCCTCAATTTATATAGTAGGTATAGTCCTGAAAAACTGTATGTAAATTAGATTTTTAAAAACCTGGATTGTATCTTTTTTTGGTATTTAAAGGAATCATAAAAGTAAATCCTTTTGTAAAGTAAATTATATCTTAAATGACCCTTTAAAAAATAATATGGACTTAACCATATCTTTTCTTAAACCATATTTGATTTTGTAAGTGAGCTAACCTTCTTTCTTACCTATATCCCTGATTGTATATTAAAAAGATTGGAAAACCAAAAAATGTTTTTCTAGTTAGTGTGGCCCTGCAGCTGTTTATAATTGTCCTCACTCAAAGGGTTATTTTTGACCTGAAATATTTGCTTTCTTTTTTTGAATTACATAAATAAATCATATTATAAAGGAAAACATACACATGAAGAAAATAACTGCAAATTTCCTGTAATTTTAGCCATCAAAAACAACCACCGTTATGAGTTGATGTATCTCTTCCCGAGCTCCTTTCATTTTGTGCATGTGTGTATGTATATGTGTATTTACATTGGGCCATACTGGATATTCTGTTTAATCTACTTTTCTTAACATACTATTGGAGTTAGAATTTGGTATGTGCCAATATTTTTGTTCTCGTGACTCTGAAAATTTCCAAGGTGATTCTGGCGGTTTGAATCTGCATCTGTAAGATGAATATTATAGACTGTGTCAAGGGTACACTATATCCGAAATATTTTCTGTTTCCACTTATTTTTTAAAGACCCTATACTTGGAAAAAATGTTTTCTTTGACAAAAAAAAAAATGCTTCATATTATTAAATCTTGAAAAGATGAGCAAGGGTGTTTAGTTATATGTACTTGATAAAATTTACCATTTTTTATTCTTGTTTTCTTTTATTTGAAATCATGAAGTCTTGCAACTTCAAGGCCTTCTTTAAAAGGTCATATTCTCTAGCAGCTTTTTAAGTGCCACAGACATCACTTACACGGTATCTTTGATTTCTTTGATAGGGCATTTATATATTTTTTTTATAAGAGGAAGGGCTTTATTTACTGGCTGGGAGCTTACGGCATAGAAGAATTCCAAGTGGCTGCGCTCCCCGACTGGCTTGGTCTTTCCCTTTTTATTGACAGTCAAAAAGTTCCAACCCATAGGTACCTTCTCATTGGCCAGTTTGAATCAAGGTCACTTATATTAATAAAATGTTTGGGAGACAAGTAACTTAATTGAGAAGGACAGAAATTGAGCAAACGTCAGTTTGATTCACTTTTTTGTTTCAAAGTCCTTGCTTATTTGTTCTTGTGTTCTGGTACTCTTATCAGTGAAAAGTTGTATTTTATAAAATCCCCAGGAAAGTAAACAGAAAGTTCCCTTGGAGAGTCTCTACATTAGTAAACAATCATTTCTCTGTAGTTACGAACACTTCTTAACTAGTTCAGTACTACTCAGTACTGGCTGAATAAATAAATGTATGTATGGATTTGGTCTGTTCTTAAATCTTTTATCTCTGTGTGATGGTATTCTTTTCTCCAAAACAAACAAAGGTTGAATCTTCATGGAATATCAGAAAACTGAGTTCAACACTGTGCTGGTTTGAGGTATGATTTCCCATTGCAGTTGTTTAGTGTTTGTTCAGAGTTGTTTTTCTGTTGTCTTACTTCATTTTGGGTAGTTCATGCAGTTCCTTACATTTTTAAAAGTGGAAACTTTTATTGTCCATGTTTGCTAAGTTATGATAATGAAAACAGCTATTTTGTTTTTGTTTTTGTTTTTTTGAGACAGAGTCTCAAGCTGTCGCCCTGAGTAGGGTGCCGTGGTGTCATAGCTCATAGCAACCTCCAAGTCTTGGGCCCAAGCAATCCTCTTGCCTCAGTTTTTCTACTTTTAGTAGAGTTGGGGTCTCCCTTTTCTTTTTGAGACAGAGTCTCACTACTTCGCCCTTGGTAGAGTACTGTGGCATCACAGCAACTTCAAACTCTTGGGCTGAAGGGATTCTCTTGCCTCAGTTTCCCAAGTAGCTACGACTACAGGTGCCCGCCACAACACCCAGCTATTTTGTTGTTGTTGCTGTTGCAGTTGTCATTTTTTTTTTTTTTAAAGAGATAGAGTCTCACTACTTCTATTGGTAGAGTGCTGTGATGTCACAGCTCACAGCAACCTCCAGCTCTTGGGCGTAGGCAATTCTCTTGCCTCAGCCTCCTGAGTAGCTGAGACTACAGGTGCCTGCCACAACACCTAGCTATTTTTTTGTTGCAGTTTGGTTGAGGCTGGGTTCAAACCTGCCACCCTTGGTATATGGGGCCGGCGCCCTTCCCACTGAACCATAGGCACCACCCATAGTTTTCACTGTTGTTTAGCTGGCCCGGGCTGGGTTCGAACTGCCACCCTCTGTATAAGTGGCTGATGCCATAACCACTGTGCTATGGGCACTGAGCCCAGGGTCTTGGTTTTGCTCAGGCTGGTCTCAAACTCATGAGCTCAAGCAATTCACCGGCCTCGGCCTCCCAGAGTGCTAAGATTACAGGAGTGAGCCACCACACCTGGCCAGCGCCAGTTATTTTGGAAGTTGGAGGAGGGAAACACACTTCAGAGAAAGAATGGGGACATGGTTTGCTAGGGGAGAATGAGGGATAGAGTTGGAGGTGTTGTTGAAAGTTGGCGTGTATTGGGGCTCAGAACTCAAAGATGGGAAGCAAACCTAGGTGACAGTTGCCTGGCAGAGTCTGTGCTACATGTTTAATCTGTATTACTTTGCCTATTCTTCTCAGTAAGTGGGAGAAGTAAGGATTAATAGTTTTACAGTTGAGGAAACAACATATAGCTTAAATAACTTACCCTGGGTCCTACAATTGGCGTGGTTAAATTTGATAACTCTTAGTATAGTAATAATTGTGTTTATATCCATTTTCTAGAAAATAACTAGTTGTGTAGATCTCACAAAAAATATCAAAGGGTATTATCTTCAATTAGTTTTGAAAAAAACTGTTGTACATCAAAATGGTAATTAAAAGTCAAAGCTTTTTTGTTTGTTTGTTTGTTTTTGGAGACAGAGCCTCAAGCTGTCCCCCTGGGTAGAGTGCTGTGGCATCAAAGCTCACAGCAACCTCCAACTCCTGGGCTCAAGTGAGTCTCCTGCCTCAGCCTCCCAAGTAGCTGGGACCACAGGCACCCACCACAACGCCCGGCTGTTTTTTGATTGCAGCCATCATTGTTGTTTGGCGGGCCGGGCTAGATTCGAACCCACCACCTTAGGTGTATTTGGCTGGCGCCTTAGCCACTTGAGCCACAGGCGCTGAGCCAGGTCAAAGCTTTTTAAAAATTATCAATTTAAGCATTTGATAATTGTATCATCAGTTAAGACGATTAGTATTTTTTAAGTTGTAAAATCCAGGTGGTTTCATGGCATCACTTTGTTCAAATAATAGGTCATATGTAAATAGGGGAACTGAAACATTTATCGAAGATTACTTACAAGAATAGTCCACAGACTAATAGCTTGACCAGTAGCCTTAGCTGGGAGCTTGTTAGGAAGACAGGATTTGAGTCTCATCCCAGACCACTGAATCAGAATCGAAATCTAACAGGGTCTTCCGGTGATCGGTATGCATATTAAAGATGGAGAAGGGCCACTCTCCAGGCTTCATTTGAGTTCCTCATATTGCCACGATCAGTGTATAATAGAGGAATTGGTTTTTGTAATAATTGCATTTATTAATAAATTGAAAGTAGTTGGTGACTAGATAATTTCATAGTATAATTATTACAGTCTACATGAAAATTCCTCTACTTATGACTTTATTTTGAAATTTTTGTTTTTGAGATAATTTAGAATTGCCAGACATGTTAATAACTACATTAAGCTTTCATAAGTATTCAGTTTTTTTGCTAGAACATTTTAAAAGTTAAAAATTCCTTCTAAATGTAAGCAATTCTTTGTCAAATAGTCAGTATTCCTTTTTTTTTTTTTTTTGGCTGGAGCTGGGTTTGATCCCATCACCTCTGGTATATGGGGCCGGAGCCCTGCTCCTTTGAGCCACAGGGGCTGCCCATAATAGTCACTATTCTTAATCAGATCTTTACAGCAGGTGTCCTCAAACTACGGCCCATTGGCCCCATGCAGCCAGCCTAGGACATTTATCCAGCTCGCTGGGTGTTTTGCTGCCTCTGCCTGTCCTGCTTAGCAGCCAACTCATCCTGCAGTCTGGCCCTCCAACAGTCTGAGGGACAGTGAACTGGTCCCCTGTTTTAAAAGTTTGAGGACCCCTGTCTTACAGTGTTAAGGCTTAATATACACGGAGATTATCTTCCTCCCTTGGTTTTAATTTTATATTTTAAGTTTACATATGGTTTACATTTTGTGCCTTGCTTACCAAAAACTAATTAAAAAACAATTTTGTAGAACATTTTCATTGCTAGTGTTTTCAGTATTTCAAATTGCTAATGTATCAATTTGATACCATTGAAGATAAAACAGCTTTTTTTCTAGCAGTCAGTACTGCAGTGTTAACAGTTTTTTTTCTAAAAGTTAGTACTGCAGTGTTTTCTTTTTGACAAACAAAAGCAAATTAGTCAGGTAAATAATCTTATATTACTCGTGCCCAAAGGGGGAAAATTTTTTTTAAAGGAGGGGGGAGACTGAACCTTAAAGACTTCTCCATCCTTGATCTATGCCGTCTTGAATGATCCTAAGAGACTAAAATATGAAGCATAACTTATTTAAAAATGTCTTTTATGTACACCTGTATTTTGTTAATGTCATATGTTTTAGATTCTTATTTGTAATTCTTAAGACTTTTTAAAACTTCTCTACTATAGATGTAGTTTTAAAGGAGCATTTGTGATATGTTGATATTGTATGAAAAATTAAAAAGACTTCAATTAAAGATTTTTCAAAGGTATAAAAAAATCTTTTTGGGTCGGCACCTGTGGCTCAAGCGGCTAAGGCGCCAGACACATACACCTAAGATGGCGGGTTCGAATCCCCAGCCCGGGCTCGCCAAACAACAATGATGGCTGCAACCAAAAAATAGCCAGGTATTGTGGCGGGCGCCTGTAGTCCCAGCTACTTGGGAGGCTGAGGCAGGAGACTCGCTTGAGGCTTGAGCCCAGGAGTTGGAGGTTGCTGTGAGCTGTGATGCCATGGCAGTCTACCCAGGGGGATAGCTTGAGGCTCTGTCTCAAAAAAAAAAATCATTTCACGGTTTTATATTTATCCTACTTGACTTTATGATGATTCAAATTTATAGTTGTTTTTGTTTTTGTTTTTTTTTGGCTGGGGCTGGGTTTGAATCCGCCACCTCTGGCATATGGGGCCGGTGCCCTACTCTTTTGAGCCACAGGTGCTGCCCCAAATTTATAGTTTTTAATTTTTTAATTGAAACAAGTTTTTTATTTCATTGTGTGCTTTTGGTTGTATAACATGTTTTATGGAAATGACTTCTTATTAAAATGACACTTCACAGACGTGGACTAACGTTCATGAGATCATGGTATCTTTTGGAAGAAGAGTTTTGTGCTACCCGCTTTATCGCCATTTCAAACTGGTGAAGAAGGCCTACAGAGAAACTATAAAGATACTGCAACTGGGTAAGATACCATTGTGTTTGCAAATTTGGGAATGCAAAAGTAAGTTTTTAGTTTGTGAAAATGTCATGATTTTTGCTTTTTTATAATCTACAAATTAACTCTCATTTTTTCTGTATGCAAATCTAACTATGCCTCATTTTTTCTATATGTAAATAAACCATCTAATCCAAACCCTTTTATGGTAATAGGCCCTCTTTGCTGAGTGGAGTAGGGAGGGTAGATAGAAAAAATATGCCCAGTATTTTAGACCTTTTTACATTATAGTAAATTGCATCATTCAGGATTTCTTGGATGCCTATAATTTTGTAGGCTTTATGGTAGGACTGTGGGTTTAATAATAAAGGAGACAGGTAAGTTCCTGGCTCTGACAAAGTTTATAGTTTTGTCAGAGAGACAGATGATAAATAAGTAAGCAATTCCAAACAGAGAGAAAAGTGCTTTACTGGGGGAAATACAGGGATCATTTAGGAGAAGACACATAACCTAGATTTGGGATGTTAGGATGAGTTTTCCAATGAAAAGCACAACTACTCTGAGGACTTTTGATTATTACTAAATTCAGCCTGAAAAGACAAATACTTGTTAACTTTAAGGATGTGGAAAATTCCAGGCACTGAAACAAATTTCAGAGTGCCCATAACAGTAGGATGTTACTTCCAAGTTAATGACTTTGAAGAAGGCAATATCCATTTATATGTATTATTTCTAGCACATTTATTTAAAAGTCACTTCTATTACTTTATGGTCATTTTGTATATTCTCCCCCCAGTAGTCTCATCATTCCTTTGCCTTTAGTTACAAAAGTATTTCTGGTAGCTTACTTTTTAGACTTCAGAATAATGAGAAAGGAAGCTCTTGCCTCCTCTGGGTGAATTCACTAGCTTAAAGGAGAGACACACTCTTCCCACCTCAGCACTTGTACTTGGCTTTCTGTGTAACCTATGGCCTTATTGTGGGGGGCAAAAGTCATGTTTGAAGTAGAGTCTTTTAAAGTAGACAATATTTGTAAAAATGAGTTACAGTTAAATGAAAGATACCTCTTTATTCATATAGTGTTTTAGACTAACTGCATTTGATTTTGAAGGATTGTTGATTATAGGATAAAAGAGCTACTGTCATTGAGAAATCCATCTTCTTTAACTTATAGACTGCTTTTTTTTTCCTTTTTTTTTCTTCTTGCCTTCCATCTAAGATAGTTCTTGAATTGCTAAAATTACCTTGGAAAATCAATCTTCTATAAATGACTTCTTGTTGAGCTTGAGGTCCTGCGTCACAGTTCAATTCCTTTTTTTAAAGTCCTGCTAGGTTATCTAGGCATTCTTAGACGTAAAAAGATGTGATTATTTTTTTTACGTCATGGCTCAGCTGGAAAAAACTGTGGCAGAGCCCCCATGCGTGTGTTTACTCACACACTGACACACACTCTCTTTCAGTCTCACTCTCAGACTCTCTCACACATAGAAATTACTACTTGCTACTTCTTATTCTGGGAAGTAGTCTGGTTCTCTGGATTCTTATTCAAAAAGTAATCAGTTCTATGATTGCGTAACCAAAAATAAATTTGATTGCTTTGGCTTACATTGTAATCATTTACCCAAAAAGTTTTAGTAGGTCAGAATTTGAGACTTAACTTTTATTCGTAATCACTCTGACAAGAATAGTCTTAATCAGCTGTGTTATGACAGCAACAGAAAACCTGAATAACTGGAAGCCTCTCGGCAAAAAGTGAATGTGAAGCTTCTATAAACCATGTACTGTGGGTTCTGTGATTAATCGGGACTGCGGTTAGTTAGTGCTGAACAGGTCTGGGTTGTCTAGAATTCATGCCAGAAGCTATGGGGCTGACAAGCCCTGGATGAGGATGGTAACCTGTACAGGTAGATGGCACAGGGATGTCATTATTGCTACTGAAGAGGCTTGTTTGTTTGGACATAATTTAAGTGGAGGTAGCTCTGGTTTGGCATTTAATGTTTTTCCAAGAATGAATTTATGCCTATATATATATATATATATATATATATATATAAAATATATAATTCAAGATGCTGTCATAGTGTTCATATTTTTTATTATATGTGCTTCCATAGTTGGATGTAGTGGTAACTCTTTTCCCCCAAAGAAAGAATGATCTTAAATGGAATGACCATCCCAAACTATTGTGGGAATGCTTCAGAAATCTTCCGTTATTTCATTATAACGGATTGACTGAGATCTGAGTTTTCATAGAGCCATGGTTTGCTTTATCCAACTTCCCAGTAGCCTTTCCGAGGGTTCTTTACTGGGCCTTTGGCCCTTTTCAGTTTTGTATTGCTTCTCCCTTTCTGTCTCCTCCTCCAGAGAACTGTGTTTATCTCTTATCTCTGGCTGTTATGTTTACACCAGACTCCTGACGGGCAGGAAATCCTGCTTTGCCCCCTTAAGTACTCTTACGGCGCTTAACAGGAGACCTTTGAGCAGGAGTTGCTCTCTCTCTGCGTCAGTGATCTCAGGATGCTTGACTCTCCCATTTTTTCCTCTTGTCTCTGTTCTTTAACCACTTTTATTGCCTGTTCCTTGTTGCATTCTTTTGAGGAGGAGGTAAAGGTGCTATTAGTCAATTGAAAATAACAGTAAAAGGGATGACAACAGAGGAGCAGCATACACTTTGCTGAGTGTTTGTACTAACATGTACTAACATCTCCATCTTATTAATCTGTGCAAGGTAATCCTCACTCTGCTTCCATTGGTAGGGCTGAACACGGTGGGCTGGAAGGAATTTTTGCTTCTACTTCCCGCTTTGAGCTCATTCTGTAGGATCTTTTTTCCCCCTTCTTGGATAGAATATATATTGTGCATATGTCATATAATATATATGCTTCCTAAAATATATGCTCTATAACTTTTTCTATCACTTTAGGCTACATAAAAATTCTCCCACCTATTCTAGTTATGGGACGAGTTTGATTTTATTACTTCAAATGTTCTCTTTGAACTTGATTAAAAGAGGAAACCTCTTCTCCTGTTGAGGTCTGTCTCAGGGAAGGAAGGAGGAGGGAGGGACACAGCCTCCACGTGGTCATCCCAAGCTGCTTGTTCTTTCTTGCATCTTGATGACCGGTCAGACACCAGTCTTTCTACACTATGAATTAGCATTTCCAGGGCAAGCAGGTTATATTCTCTTCAGAGCCTCTCTTAAAACCTTGTTCCTCTCTGTTTAAGGTGACAGAAATGCACCTCCTCCCTGACCCGGGGAGGGTGGTAGGAAATTCCATAATACTCCACCAGTGTTATCCAAAGGGATTTTTCTGGACCTCTTTACTCTTAAGCTCTTGGAGGTAAATACTGAGCTAATGAACTACAAATCATATTTAGTTACTTTGTCTACAAGCTCAGCATAAAAGATAGCATCTCTTTTTATTTTTTTGAGACCAAGCCTCAAGTTGTCACCCTGGGTAGAGTTCCATGGCATCACAGCTCACAGCAACCTCTAACTCCTGGGCTTAAGCAATTCTTTTGCCTCAGCCTCCCAAGTAGCTGGGGCTACAGGTGCCTGCCACAACGCCTAGCTGTATTTTTGATTGTAGTTGTCATTGTTCAGCAGGCCCAGGCTGGATTTGAACCCGCCAACTCTGGTGTATGTGGCTGGTGCCTTAGCCACTTGAGCTATAGGCACTGAGCCATCTCTTTATATAATATGGGAATATTTGATATGTATTTTGTCTTTTGGAGCTTTGCTGGAAATGTCAGAAATATTCTGTCTTAATAATGCTAAGGCCAGGCACAGTGGCTCACGCCTGTAATCCAAGCACTCTGGGAGGCCAAGGCAGGTGGATGGCCTAAGCTCACAGGTTCAAGACTAGCCTGAGCAAGAGTGAGACCCCAGGGCAGCACCTGTGGCTCAAAAGGGTAGAACGCCGGCCCCATATGCTGGAGGTGGCGGATTCAAACCCAGCCCCGGCCAAAAAAAAAAAAAGTGAGACCCCCATCTCTTAAAAATAGCTGGGCATTGTGGCAGGCTCCTGTAATCCCAGTTACTCAGGAGGCTGAGTCATGAGAATCTCGTGAGCCCAAGAGTCTGAAGGTACTGTGAGCTTTGACACCAGGGCATACTACTGAGGGCAACAAAATGAGACTCTCTCTCTCAAAAAAAAAAAAATAATAACAATACTAGTATGGTAATAATAACCGCAGGTACCGTATGGTTGTATTGGCTACTCTCTGTGTGCCAGTGCTAGGCTCAGTTCTTCAGATGCCTGATCTCCTTTCACTCATGTTTTAATCCTATGAAGCAGGGACTGCGATTTCAGGTAGAGGACAGGCTTGAAGAAGTTAAGTCAGTAGCCTAGGATCACAAAGATAGTGACCTGGATTTCACTCCAGGTCTGTGTAACTCAAAGTCTGTGCCCTCATTTGTACTGAACTAGTTATAAATGAGATTATATGAAGCCTGGATTTTTAAAGTAGTCTAGAGTGGGTTGTGGGAAAATGGGTAGGGTACAGCTGAAACCAGGTTGGCTACAAGCAGCCATTGCTCCCTGGCTGATGAATACTTAGAATTCACGATACTGCCGTCCCTGTTTCTGTACATGGCGTGATTTTCCTTTAAAAAGGGTGACTTGGCTCGGCGCCTGTGGCTCAAGTAGCTAGGGTGCCAGCCACATATACCTAAGGTGGCGGGTTCAAATCCAGCCTGGGCCCACCAAAACAACAATGACGGCTGCAACAAAAAATAGCTAGGTGTTGTGGTGGGCGCCTGTGGTTCCAGCTACTTGGGAGGCTGAGTCAGGAGACTTGCTTGAGCCCTGGAGTTGGAGGTTGCTGTGAATTGTGATGCCGCAGCACTCTACCCAGGGGGATAGCATGAGGCCCTGTCTCAAAAAAAAAAAGGTGACTTTTTTTTTTTTTTTAATGTTTGGGCTCTTAACCATTTCACTCCTGTGTTTCAGATTTAAATTTATCTATCATTTTGTGGAAAACATAATGCCTATTTAGTCAATTGTCATCTAAAAATGTTTTGGCTA